AACCAACTGTATGAATCGAAACTAATTTCATAAATTCTTGTCCCTAATGCCCAATTTACGCTGTCCAGCTACAATTATTTCCCTGCACTTGAATTGCTTCTTTGTTCCTCTACTAATTTCATTTTATTTTTGAATAGACTTCTGTAGCTGCAAGAGAAAATACAACGAAATTAATAGAGAATAGGTGCATTGAATGCGTTTTGACGTCTACTGTATTATACTGAGAAACTGGTGCAAGAAGCTGTCTCATTCATTTATTTACATCGTCTTTTACACATTTGTCATGTAAAAGTAGATTATTTGTATGCGTAATTTGAACATAGACTTATATTTATGAGCGAAAGTTACTCGCGTTAATCTACACACATGTTTTTAAAAAACTTGTAATGGGCTCTTGTTGTTGACTATCCGAGCCCCTTTTTTTGCATCGGATTATCGAAGAAAGCAATATTACCAACATTTGTAGGTAAGTAATCTGTGTTTCCCTTACACCACGGGTGAAAAGACTTCAAGCACATTGCAGGCAAACTAAACGACAGCAAGCGTTTGCAAAAGCAGGATATCATTACATCCCTAACAATCATCTCGTCAAACAGCCGTTCACACGGCGTTCCATTACGAAAGCGCAATTTAAATGCGGCCAGATTTCCATTACATATGCACCGGTAGCAGCAATGCGTCAGTCTTTTTTCCTCTTTACGCCTCCACTTTGTATTCATCAACGTTGAGCCAGTCCGCCTCTGGCGGCTCCTGCAAACTGCTACCAAAGGATCTTTTATTATTCATTGTTTTACATGTTGAAAACTTGTTAAGGGAAATGAGATTCATGCCTTCCTTGTTTGTTTTGTGTAAATTCACTATCGTGAGCATATAGTATATTGTAAGTCCCTTGATTAAAACCATAAAGGAGACTATGTCGAGTGTCTATCTGAACAAAATTATTTGAAACTGTATCTGCTGTAAATGGTGAAAAGTGTTTACATAAAACAGACAAGAGATGAGCATGCATAAAGTGAATATACTTGCGAACGTGGCTGACATATTTGAAGGGGCTGATGTTGATAGAAGGAGGCATTTCGCTCATGCCACAGATACAGTTTCATCGAAGTAAGTCAGTTTGGTATTTGATGACGGCTGTTGCTATACAACCACCTCTCAATTAGTTATTCTGGCATATCTACTAGACCTGCAGTGTATCCTGAAACTTGGGACCTATTTGAGGAGCAACTACACCTGAAAAGTATGGTGAAACAGTAGCGAAAAAGTAAAAAAAAAATAGATGAAAAAGTACCCACACTTCATTGGCAGAGAAATTTTAAGTACAGATCTGTCGCTCAAAAGTAGTTGTCGTCGTTGGTAAAATGTTTTGTAGAAAGTCTAGGTATCGTAAACCGTCCAGCCGATTCGGGAAAATGGTTATCCCTGGTTTCCATGCTGGCCCAAATACGTTTATTGAGAACGTGCCCGACGGAATATGTGAAGATTTTTCAACAACCACACATATTTCAGAAGTTATTCCCCCGTCACGCGTGAAGGTCGATTCGCCCGTGAATAATATGAACTGCAGCAACCACTCAAAACGCACTCTTGTAGGAAGATCTACAGCTTGGATGGCTTGTACAAAAGTGTCATCACACTTTAGTCTTATTGACTTGCACTTGTCTAGGCACTTGCCTAGTACTTGTTGAAGGATTTCCTTTTACAAGGTTCAGGGTTATCTAGGTCCACCACTGTGCCCAGCCCGACATTACTGCGAACGACCTGTATGCTTAGCGCCATAAATGATAACGTTTCTCTGCATACGGGAAGCTTCGATAGCATTTTAAAGACACTCATTATGAATCAAGATCATGGTACAAGTTCGATATTGTACGAGTGTGCTATTTTGTTTTGTTTTTCGAACCGATTGGTAAACAAATGTTCTGTTTACCTACTCTGCCAGTGCCTGCGCTAGGTACTAACGTGCGTCGTGCCTTCTCACTGTTGACCTGATCGAGATACAGGAGCGGATTAGGTTTGGTTTAGGTTCGACTGATTTTGAGTAGTCTAATATCTTGGTTATTATAAGACTTTCGTTTATGTGCTACTAGAAAACCGCTTATTTTTTCTAAATCTATACGCCATGTAAAGAAAGGTCCCAACTTCCCGTATAGTAAATAATGAGCTACTTCATAGGAAGTCTTACCAAACTTCACTGCACAGATAGAGGCCTCTAAAGGGCTCCACTGGATAACGGTTTTTCTTGAACTACTCCCGATCGGGATTTTGTGATTTAACGAATTTTTTTACAGCATCGCAAGCGACCAACGTTTTATCCGATGGTATCCATGTAAATAATTGACTCCTTTGACTTTTTGGACGAACTACACCTAGCGCAGTTGGTATTGATCTTTTTATATCCTGATGATAATAACTTAATGATGGCATTTATGGAAAGCCTATTCCTTAACCTGAAAATATAGACACGCTCACAATATCGGTTTGCGATTAAATGTTTTTTCAGATCACTTGATCAAGCTTTAGACTTTTTATCAGCTTATGGTGAATTAGTTGCAGTGATAGCCGATGAATGAATGAATCTTGAAATTAGAGGCACTCCGGCCACCATAAGGAGCCAGTGCATAGGCCGCTTATGCGGGTTCCTATGCACCTCTACAATCCTTAGATCACAAGCCTCGCCCTTTTAGCGATGTTGAGAATCGCCTTGAGTCCAAGCTCCTTTACGTCCTGAGGGTCCAAAGTAATGGACCCCAGTATAGTCTGCCTATAGTAGCTCAGAGCTTCACAGCGACACAAAACGTGCGCCGAGGTCTCTTCCTCTACCCCGCAGCGTTCACACAAGGGATCCTCAGCCACCCCCATCACGTGCAGGTGATAGCCGATAGAAGCGATTCTGAAACAAATCCAATGACTTTAAAGATGACCCACTTGTTTGGTGGGTACAAGGGCACATTTTTTTAGACAAAGTATCAGGCTTCCCAAAAATGTTAGATTGTTTGTACAGCTGTTCGCTACCACTCAGAAACTGAGTCTTAGCGCTGTATAGAATACGCGCCATCTAACCCTAAATGATCAATCACTAACAGTGAACATAGTCTGACTCTAGACAGTACTAAGATTTAGCTGCTGAGCGCTAGTGGCATGTCATATTTGCTTGTTAAAGTTGCGCACCCACTCGAGTAAAGCGACATGAAGGGAACCGCGGCGACATTTATCATCAGCACGCGTCAAATGTGACAAACTGCTTCGCTTGGCGTCGACTCATAGCTGCTTTGCAGTGACTCAATTAAGTTGCTCGGAGTTACTCTGAGTAGTGACTCAGTAACGTGCAGCACCAATATCCTTGCACTGTACTTTCTATTCCCATGCACAGTGTCTAAGTAGACGCAACTGTTTTGTGGTCCAGCGTCAACGATTCAAAATACAATTCAAACATACTATATACTACTTTGGCAGCATCGGTGGCGTAGTGGTAGACGTTATGTGTCTCCTAATGGCTCGGAGTGCACTACACGGGTTCGAATCCCGTCCCAATAAAAATTTTCCATCCGCAGGTGGTAGACGGTCTCTGACTGTAAAACGCGGAGGTACCGCCAGGCGGATCTCGAAGGCGAGTCAAGAATGTGTTCTTGTTGCATGCACACGTGATCTCTGGGTAGAGTCCGTGTGGCGTCTTCTCTGTATTCCATATAGCCCCACGGTATCCACCGGTGTTTAGGTCTTAGGCCTTGGTGGTGGATCAAGTATAAAAAAAAACTCTGATATTAGTAACGCACCTTATTACTTTTTAAATTATGCACAATAAAAGGCATGACTCCGTAGAAACGCAGCAGTTCTACGCCTATTGTAACCTGATATCTTTTTTTTTTCATTAATAACTTTTATCGAAAATTAGTCACATGCAATACAAAACAGACACAAAAGAATATGAAAGGGTTATGCTACATTCATGGGTTGACATTTGATTTTCAGAACCGCATAGGAAGCACTCACTGTGCAAAGCTGTTAGTTATCTTAACTATCGGTAACAGTGATGTCACGAAGTGCCAACTGTTACAAACCGCATCTCTTGAAATGAAAAAGTTAAAACCCAACACGACCGATGAAGGGTTTCGCATGTATATTCTCTCTATACCTACCATTGATTCCCAAAGTGGTCTATATCGACCCCTAGGGGTCTATGACAACCTGCAAGGGGTCTACGTAAGCGAAAAAAAATTTGAGGGTCCATGAAATGAATATGGGGGTCCACGAAAGTGGACCTCAACACATACACTAATAGTAAAAAATTTATTATATATGTTTATAAAATTGTGTAAGTTGTAGGATGTTGGTATTCGCTTTGTGGTCGCAATACATGCTGAACTTGTAAAAACCTGAGAGTCGCAGTCTCAGAGCTTCGCTACCTTGCACTGACTTGTTCAATTCGTCACTCTATAAATACGAATGTGGGACAACTACGTTTATTCGTTTCCTGAATCTTAAAAAGGAAAGTGCTAAGAAAATATTTTAAAAAATATAAACAGATATCACACAAATTATAGTGAGTCAGTGTTATTTTGTTTGAGAGTGCTGGAGAAAAGTAAGTACATTATTTTTTATTAAATTTTAGTTTTGTACTCGTAGTTAGCAAAGATAGATAAATTACGCCAATCATGACATTAGTTATTAGTAGTTAAATATTCAATCATGCAAAATTACACGGGTACTCCTTAATAGTTTCTTTTTGAAAGTTTTAGCAATCGGTAATATAATTACAGTGCAATCTCTGTAATTCGAGCTAATTGTTGCAAGAAGATGTTCGAATTATGGAATGTTTTCGGAAAAATCAAAAAATATTTTTAATATACAGCTGCTGGATTTTCTGTCTTATTTGAATAATTTAATTTTGCCCACAGATGATTGATGCCATGTCCGAATCTAAAAAGAAATGTAGACAATACAGTGTTGATTATTTGAAATTTGGCTTCATTCCATCATTGCCGGACAAACAATCGCCTATGTGCCTTTTATGCAACAAAGTTTTGGACAGTGACGCTATGAAACCATCTAAACTGCAAGCTCATCTGAGAAGATGACAGGCAGCAGTGGCCGCAGTAGTAGACTCTTCGGTCTCCTGATCAGTCGCCGTGCGCTATGCGGGTTCGAGTCCCGTCCCAGGAGAAATTCTTCTCTTGGCTATGGATGTTGTGATTGTCCGTAGGTGGCAGACGGTCTCTGAATGTCGAACGCGGAGGTACCACCCGGCGGATCTCGTAGGCGGAGCCAGAATGTGTGCATGTGTGCATGTTGCATGCACACGTGTTCCCTCGCCAGAGTCCGTGTAGCGTTCCCCCTTTCCCATGTATCCCCCTATAGCCCCACGGTACCCAATGGGTGCTTAGGCCTTAGGCCTTCGTGGTAGTTGAAGTATATAAAAAAAACCCTGATAAAACAAAGAAAGATTTGAAATACTTTCAAACACTCTAAGATAAATTTCAGAAGAGACCTACACTGGACAGAATGTTCGCTTCGACGTCACAAAGAAATGATGGTTTGCGCGCGTCTTACAAAATCTGGTTACTTATAGCAAAATCCGGAAAACCGCATACTATCGGAGAGAAGTTAATTTTGCCAGCCGTTGAAGAGGTTTTAAAAACTGTTTTACACAAACCTGCATCTGATATCATTAAAAGAATTCCCTTAAGCAACAATACTGTTGAAAGACGTATTGATGAAATGAGTTCTGATATTGAAAGCATCTTTTGTAATTATTTGCAAACGACCCATATCTCTATACAACTGGACGAGTCAACTGTACCTGATAATGCAGCATTATTATTGGCATATGTTCGTTTTATTATGAATCAAGAAATCTACGAAGAACTTCTCTTCGCAAGAACTTTGATAACCGACACTAAAGGTGAATCAATATTTCATGTTTTGAAGGATTACTTCATTGAAAAAGCAATTCCTTTATCAAATATAATATCAGTAGCTACAGATGGAGCACCTGCCATGGTTGGACGTTATCGTCGATTTATAAGCTATTTAAAACAAAATGTGTCAGGGGTGTTAGCAATACATTGCGTCATCCATCGACAACACTTAGTTGCTAACAATTTGAGTGTTAGATTGCATGAATCACTTCATTTAGTCATTGATGCAGTAAACCGAATCCGAAGCAACGCGTTGAATACGCGGTTATTTGCGCAGTTGTGTGAAGAAAATGACGAACACTTTCATCAATTACTCCTTCACACTGAAGTACGCTGGCTGTCGAAAGGCTTATGTCTGACAAGATTTTTTGCACTTTTTGAGACTATTTTAGAATTTCTGGATACTAAAGATAAAATTTTAAAAGAAAATTTAATGAAGAGGAAAACAGACATCGCCTATTTAACAGATTTGTTTACAAAATTTAATACGGTTAATTTGCAATTACAAAGGGACAGTTTAACTTTGATTAAAACAAAGTCCATCGTATCAGCGTTTCTTGCCAGAGTTAAACTAATGAAGCAAAATATTGGACGGGGCGAATTTTCTCAGTTCCCCAATTTGTCACAGACAAGCTGCCAGGAAGACGACGTTTCAACTTACGTTCAATATTTAAATGCCCTCTATTCAGATTTTGAATCTAGGTTTGAGGATATTTTGACTATGGTAATACCACCGTGGATAATTAATCCATACTGTGACATAGAAGAAACGAATGTCATAATACAAGAGGAACTGGCTGAACTAAGTACAAACGAAAAACTTAAGGTTCAGTTTAAAAACGGATATCAGCAATTCTGGCTGCAAAACAACATACCCGTTACTTATCCCGTGTTATGGAATATAGCGAGGAAATTTTTAATTTCCTTTCCATCGTCATACCTAGTGGAAAGGGGGTTCAGCGCTGTTACCAATCTCCTAACGAAAAAAAGAAACAGACTGGACATCATTAGCCGAAGAGATTTAAGATTAACCCTTACAAAATTGACGCCAAATGTTGATAATTTATTATTAAAGCATTAGGTTCATCCTTCTCACTAAAAATATTGACTTATTGCTTATGATATTTTATTTATAGTTTATTTTATCTTTATTGGTGTCTGACCAATAAATGCCCGCATTGGGGATAAGTGCCCGCATTGATTTTTTTAAAGAACCCCTCTTTATAGAAAATATTTTTTTTTTAAATTATTCTGAAAATTCAAGGATAGGGACTTACTGAAATTCGTTAATTTTTTGCCTACTTTTAGATAACTTAAACGTACAAGAAGCGGAATTTAATCAAACTAACAGTGAAATTATTGTAGAACATGCGTTTATGTTATAATTAATAAACGAACTCGCTTATTGTACTATTTTAAGTAAAAATCTTTTTTTTCAATTATTTTGCACCTTTATTTTTTCCCTCTTATTTTTTTTTTCAATGCGGGCACTTATTCCCAATGCGGGCACTTATTCCCAATGCGGGCACTTATTAGTCAGACACCTGTTTATTTAATGTTACGTATATTTTACATAACAGATACAAAATTTTATTTTGAGTAGTATTAATTTAAATTCAATTAGTAAATGTATAAATTAACATGTGTTTTTACTTTAAGTTTTTAACACTAAACTTAACTACAGTTAGAAATTTACAGGAAATCAATATCAGGTAAGTTGGGGGTCTACCCAACACGGAAAAACATGGCAAGGGGTCTACGACACAAAAAAGTTTGGGGAACTCTGCCTATACGTTCAATCGTCGTGCGCCTTTATTGTTCAGTTGTTGGTAGAAAGATTGTGCAAACCAGTAATACCTTTCTGGATATAATTCAGCGAATTCTTCTATTGTTGAGCTATTATTAAGGAGCACTGTATGGAAAAATAGTAATATTGAATTGAATCCGACTCTTACGATTTATGTGGGTTGATTGTTTTATATGCAGCCCTACATTTTAACATTTCGAAAAGCCTCTTACATTACAAAAGACACCAGAATTTGAAAGTATGTTCTTGCAAAATCTTGACCTGCCTAGCGGTAGAAGAGAGCTATATCACCGACGGCAAAAGGGTGCCGAGACTGTCCGTTAGAGAAGAGTCATCGATCAATCGGTCGGTCCTCCTCTGAACAGCATCAAGCATTGATAATATATTCAGGGCGACAGCGCCCCAAACGTGTAAGCAGTACTCGGGCCTTATACAGAGTGAGGAGCTTTTCTGTGATAAGTACCTCTTAACCTTAAACAAATAGACTAGCTTTTTCCAACACCAGCCGCTATATAATGTGATGTATTCGTGCCAGATCAAGTTCTGGGTGATCTGGACTTCCACCAGCCGAACTCGACCATCCATCGAAATCGCATATGCGCTAGGGCGCTTCTTGTTAGTTAAGGTACACAGTTACTGTGTTTTGGAAGTATTCCATGTAATACTCAATAGAGTGAAATTTGAAAACCTCTGGGTGCGAAGTACAGGGTGCTCTTGTGGTCTAATCAAGTTTTCTTATATACTTTTTAAAGTGTCTATAGTCTGCCTCTACATCTAAAGTCTGACAGTAAAGCGCCTAAGCTTCTGCCCGGCCTGACCGAAGAAGCGTTTTATTTTAAAAATTCCCTTTGATGGATGACTGCGGCTCGAATAGCGCCCGAGTGCAATAACTTTATTCATGTTGATGGCCTTATTATGGTCGTCTGGAATATTGAATTACCCGACTACGAGGCCCTCCCCGTGCGGTGTAAGGGGTGAGGCCTGATTGTAACAACTTGTCCTTCCGTCGCGTTGACACAAAGCGTGCGCCTCCGCCCAACGCCTTACGTCAGCTGGCGATGCCGCTCACCCGGCCGCTTTTTATATATTAATCATATCTGAAAATTGCACTTCAGTGAAATATTGCCACACACGATAATCGACGGAAACATGATAGCGGCCGTCGATGCGGGAGGTGAAGGAATCAAGTTTGTGCTGCACGACGCACGTAATTAAGCAAGATTCCTTTAGCGTGGCTATAAACATCGCCAATTGCTGTAGCTTAGAGTACTTTAGACAATGCGTTACGTAGAAGAAAATCAGGCAAACTTCACGAGTGAATATTCTTTTTTATTTTCTACCTGAAAAGGCCATAAAGGTATTATGATCATAACAAGGTCAGAGATGCCGTGAAATGATCAAAATAAATACAATTGGACCCCATTGTTGAGTTTCTTAATAATGTGGGTAGCACGAAGCATTACTTAAAGAGAACTTCACGTGTTATAGTCCAAATAATACTTGAATAATTCAATTTATTGGAGATACCAATAATATATATACGCGTACTTTACTACGAGGTACTCCGCTTTAGTGAGCGGCTCAAAATGTGCCCATTTCTGATAGGACATAGCTACTTGACACAATATAAATAGAACAGATGCCTTTCACGCAGCTCTAAATAATAAAACCATTATCGTTAATATTTATTACCTTATCATAGGCTGAGTAGTCGATAACATCAGCCATTCTTGATATTATGGAAGTGTCCTCACTTTCCCCATAGATCTTGATAAGAAAATTAAGTAATTAATATCATGTATCACCTGCTCAAAAATCTAAGAAATTATATATGAGTATAATTATGTACATATATAGACGCATGTACTATTGATACCTGTAATAAGAATAGAAGATGTGGTACCACTCTTTAAGTAGGAGTACATCTTGGTAAAAAAAGATCCATTGATAAAATACTAAATTCCATAGATGCATATAAATACAAGCTAAAAATAGATACAGTAAATGTTAATTGTGACTTAAAATACGTAGTCATGCCATAAGTTCTGTCCCTCGTTTTCAAACAAGTGTAGACCTGTTAATACTTGTCCGATTGTTTACATTGTGGTGTCAGTTGATTAAGCGCTTTTCGGGTAATTACATATACCTCAGTTTGTATTGATCTCTCGAAGCATAACGATGGAGTGGGGCAAGGCAGAGAACCGTATTGCAGTGATAGCTTTACATAAGTGTAATCACAGTGCTAGTCAGATTTTTGAACTCTTACGCGGCCTTCAAATATCGCGTAAATTTGTGTCTAGGACCATTCAGCGGTACAATGAGACGTCCTCTGTTGATGACAGGCCAAGAAGCGGAAGACCTCGTCAAGTAAGGACTCCAGCAGCCATCAAAGCCGTAAAAGCCAGGATTCAAAGGAATCCACTCCGGAAGCAGAAGATCCTATCCAGGGAAATGAAGATTCCTGTCCGGACGATGTCG